TGCCTCAGTCCTGTTATTTCATAGGCAAAGTACATTTGAGCGTAATATTTACGATATTAAAAAAAACAAAACAATGCTAACGCATTATAAATTACTATAATGTAAAGGAAACGGCGCGCTGAGGTTCGCGTAGTTGAACCAGATACTGAAGCAGTCACGTGGTTTTCAGACGAACGAAGCTTCAAACGTCATAGATCACGTGCTTTTGGCAAAACGAAGCAAGCTCCGATACAGTGCTTTGATATGAAATGTGTTGTTTTTTTACACAAGCTTCGAAGCTTCCGTGCCGAGCATAACATCACTAGTGTTTGGTAGAAGTGTGTGTTGAATGGTTTAGCTCCGAACGTGGAAGACGACCTCGCCGTCCGTTTCCAGGCCTTCCCGCTCCTTGAGTTTCTCCACCGCTGGCTGCTTCAATATTTACGCGGGTCCTACCTCTTGCCTGATCGTAACCTTTCTTTTTAATGTTTTGTTCCCCCGAAAATTTCTTCTTTTTTATCTGTCATCTCTTGTTGTCTATAGTTGATCTGCTAATATCTGTCCCTTGCACTCACTGAGCGCTCTCTTCTCCCTATCATTACTAGACACGCCCCTTACTGCTGATTGGCTGCGTCTCCGATACAGTGCTTTGATATGAAATGTGTTGTTTTTTTACACAAGCTTCGAAGCTTCCGTGCCGAGCATAACATCACTAGTGTTTGGTAGAAGTGTGTGTTGAATGGTTTAGCTCCGAACGTGGAAGACGACCTCGCCGTCCGTTTCCAGGCCTTCCCGCTCCTTGAGTTTCTCCACCGCTGGCTGCTTCAATATTTACGCGGGTCTTTCATATATTGATTAATGCACCTATGATTAATGGCTTCTGGGATTTTGATGGGGCTCTAAGCGGTCGCTTATACCTTGCTTATCGGTTTGAAAAATCTAAAAATGTCTGTACAAACTGAAAAAAAAAACTACATGTATTTAGACAACCATTGTGCTCTTGCAAATACACATTTATTTATTAATTTATTTTAAAAAGGCAGATATTTAAAGGGGTCATATGATGCGATTTCAATTTTTCCTTTCTCTTTGGAGTGTTGTCAAAAGCGTTTTTCATATATTGATTAATGCACCTATGATTAATGGCTTCTGGGATTTTGATGGGGCTCTAAGCGGTCGCTTATACCTTGCTTATCGGTTTGAAAAATCTAAAAATGTCTGTACAAACTGAAAAAAAACCCCACATGTATTTAGACAACCGTTGTGCTCTTGCAAATACACATTTATTTATTAATTTATTTAAAAAAGGCAGATATTTAAAGGGGTCATATGATGCGATTTCAATTTTTCCTTTCTCTTTGGAGTGTTACAAGCTCTTGGTGCATAAAGAAGATGTGTAAAGTTGCAAAGACTAAAGTCTCAACACCAAAGAGATATTCTTTATAAAAGTTAAGAGTATTCAGCCAATCACAACGCACCTCGCTTTTCAGACTGATGAGCTTTGTAAAAATCGACGCGTTTCAGAAAGGCGGGGCATAGAGGAGAAACAATAATGTACAGTATGTGGAAAATAATGTGTTTTTGAACCTTAAACCGCATAAACACATTTCATTACACCAAATACACAAAATAATGTTCTTTTTAGCAACATCATATGACCCCTTTAACCAAGCATAAAATGTGCTTGACAGGAGGCTTATTTTTGTGCACATCCAAGATAGAAGTTCCAGCATCTTGGCATTATAAAACAGGAGATTTGACCTCTACTATCAGAAGATTATCCAGTCACTGAAATGTTTCCTCTCAGATTTACTGTTCATGCTTTAATAAGATAATCTAATAAATTATTCATGGCATCTTGGAACATGTTCATTAATGATTTTATAGATTCACTTGCACCATAGTTTTCGCACACACACACACACAAGCATGAATGGTTGTTTGTATTTAGTAAGTTGTTAGTAGATGAAAACAGAGCACAAACATATGCATGTTTAAAGGTAATTTTATAGATATAATATATAATTCTTTTATTTAAGATCTGAATTTGAATGACAAAAATACATGGTATGATTGAAACATATCTTGCACTACATCATAATGTTTTGCACAACAGGCATCACATGTGCAGTAAATGAAAGTTCAATTTAAATATTAAATAAATGATGACAAAAAAAGTAAATATGTAAACACTAAGCTAGTAAGATATTTGTTTTTCTATTGCAACACTTCCGATTAAAGTGGTTTGGTAACAGTACAAAGAAAGAAGTAATTGAACAAAACTCATTTTCTTCCAGTTGAGGTGGCAAAACACAGTGCTCTTCAAACATCCTTGTAGTTATTAACTTGAATTTTGTAAAAAAAAAAATTTTAAAAAAGGTCCGTGGATTTCATTTTTCCTCCAACACGTTTGCTCACACCATGCAGAACGTCTGGAAATAAGCCTAAATGAAAACTCAACCATCTGTTGTTTTAAACCTAATAATGTTGAAGCACTGAAGATTCATTTGTGTGTATTTAAGGAAAGGTGGCATTAATGTGAACTGTCCTTCTGTGCATATGTATGTGCGCTTTTAGTGGGCTTCTCTTTTTTTTAATTCCCATACAAACAGATGACAGATTAGGATTTAGTAAGGCCCCTGTGCTGGATTAAAATCAGAACAGACTTGACTAGACTAGATTAAATTAGCATCTGGGAGAGAAAGGGGGGTCGGCAGGTGACTCTGTGAATGACTTGAGCTCATAGGCAGCACCACTGTCCACTTCCATGGATTTACGGGAGAAAAGGAGCCGAATGTCCCGATGGAGGTAGATCTTTCCAGATTTGGAGCTCTGGAACCTGAGAGACCGAGACAGAGAAAAAAGAGAGAAAGTGCAAACAGTTAATAAGAGAGTCACTAATAAGACTCACTAAAACAACTGATCAGACCTATTTTGGTAATGTTTAAACCACTGCGTGGCAAATACAGCTAGTTAGCAACAGTTTCCTTGTCTTCCTCAAGGGGGCGTTTGATGGCTCAGAAAGTTGAATCCTTTGTAGGTCCTTCATTCAAAAGGGGCACAAAAGGGGTAGTTGTGTCTTTTTTTTTTTGGTCTCATGGAAGAGATTATACTATACTAATCTAAGTTTTATATAACAAAAAATCTTATGCAGTAATCACAAAGGACTGTCCATCTTGATCAGCAC